GCCAAAAATGCATTTGGAAACACTTAACAAAACTTGCTGAAAACAGAGGTCTCGCTCGAGCGTAACTTCTTTCGCTCGAGAGGACATGCAAACATGTGAGGGGTCGCTCGAGCGGTTTGCAAACTTTGAAAAAGTACTGGTTGTGTGATTTTCACGCTCGACGGTCGCTCGAGCGTGGGACTCAGGTCCTCGCTCGAGCGTAACTCCTATTGCTCGAGCGGTCTACAAAAACATGAAACTTCTAGGAGCTCGCATTTCACGCTCGAGCGATTTCACGCTCGAGCGAACTTAAGGTCACTCGAGCAGAAGTGCATGATCACAGAGTGGTCGCTAGAGCGCAGAATTTGTCACTCAAGTGGAGGGGTTGAATTCTGGAATTTCCAGATTTACCTCTAAGCTGCAAAACTCGAATTCAACATATCAAAACTCATCATTTTGGGCCAAAAACTTAAGGAAAAACTTGTAAACTTGTTAAACATGAAGAATTGAGGATCTTTTCATAAAATTAAGGCCCAAAAGTATGATAATTGCTCAAAACTCAAACTTGGAATTGGGAAATCATGTCATTACATACCATGCATGCAAAGGTACAAGCTCAAGCTTTCAAAACATGATCAAATGAGACAAATTGGTGGAAAACAAGATGGATTCGCAAAACTAAAATAAATTTGACACATGCAAGTGGAAATTCTTTGGAATCAAACTCAAAAGCAAGTGAATTCCTTCAAAACCAAACTTGATCAATATGTATACATGCCATGCATGTGTTGCCAAGAACTCAAACCTTTCAAAACATGTACAAATGGATTGTTAAAGTGCAAAATCACAAGAGCTTCCATAATTGAACAAAAATAGGTCCTTGTATGCAAAATTGGTTGAAATCAACACTCACAATTCATGAAATGCACATGCATGTATGAAATGTTCATTTTCTCTACATTGCTAGCTCAATTCTTGCATAACTCTACTCAATCCTCAAGAATTCATGTCCTAGATATCTTAATTATACAATTTAAGTGTTGAATCATTACTTCAACTTCTCAATGAAGCTCTAGACGGTGAATTCACAAAGATGTCAAGCCAAAACCCTTGAGTTTTGTTTTTGGTTAGCAATTCATCCCTCCATTCTTCTTGAATTCATTCTCTCCCTAAGCTCTCACTCTCCTCATGTTTTGTTTGTTGAGAGGCTCAAAGAGGTGGAAAAAAGAAGAAGTCTTGAAGCTCATACTAGCTTTATATAGACTAATTAAGAAATTTAGTTAATAACTAATCAATTGACATTATTTAATCTAATTATTTCGTTCTGAATCGAATTTCAATTGAACCTACCATAATGTTCTAAAAATTCCAACTAACTCATATATTAAGTCAATTTCGTGATCGAATGCCGATAAGGCCTTCAATTCGCGGGATAAGACGAAAACACAAACAGATCTTTCTACGATAGACAGATAAAAACACAAATAATGCAACATATATGAAATTAATTCAGAATTTCATCTTAATAACTTATTAGGCATAATTAATTATGGTTAATCAACTAATCACAAGTCGGGGTTGTTATATCAACTTTTCTGAAAGCAACAAACAAAACCCATATACCTTCACCTGCTAATCTTCAGTCCATAGCAGCTCCCCAGAGCACCATAGTCATTTAACTTCTCTATAAAAGACCTTATCAGTTATGAAGAAAATCATCCGAAATTTTAGAAATTTCTCAAACTCTCTCTCTCTATAATTTCTATTTTGTAATCTATATTTTGAAGTTATGATTTCCAGCTTCGAGTAAACAATTGTAAGGTACTTTTGATTTCAGTCTATGAATAGTGTTCTGTTTTAAAATAAATATTGCTAGTTCTACTTTCCTTAAAATCACAAAATATTATATTTCTTAAGTATATCTAGATTAGGTGTATCTAAAAAATAAAAAATTGCTTAAAATATTAAAAAAATTAGTAAAAATAAAAAACACGAAAAATAAAAAAATTTAATTTTTTATGTGAGTTAAACTAAAGAAGTTGATTGTTTTTCTTTTGAAATGACATGAACAAATTATCAATATTATTTTATTATTTTATATGTATAGAAGACTAAGGAGCAAATATGTCATTTTAATCTAATAGAGGGTAAGCATAATTTTTCAAATGTAAGAAAAGATTTATATTAAGGCCAAGTTTGGGATCCCTCAAAAAATCTAAAAAGTCAAAAAGTCACTATTCTATTTAAGTCACATCATCTTATTTAAGTCACATCACCTCTCTAACACATCACTTCAAACCCAACCCAAATCCAACCTATATTTCATAAAAAGTCAAAAAGTACACTTATTTATAGAAACCTTAGAAAGTGTTAGTGTAGTTTACCTTTATTCAAAATATCTGTACAGTTTAAATAAGTTAAAATAAAATAAAATATTAATTACAAATTTTATGTCAGTGAATTGGTAAGAATCTTTGTTTATGGGACCTATGGTTCTACCCCTTGTTGCCCTTTGTTTTATATGATAGTATAGTATAGATAACACGACACGATACACGTGGAATTGACAAAATTCATTTTGAAAGTTGATTTTATAGTAAAAAAAATTATTATAAATTGTCATATTATTATTTTTTATTTTATTTTATCTTCTATAATTTGGATTATATACGATTTATTTTCCTAACGTTTAAAAATGACTATATAATTCTTATGTGATTTGTGGATTAAATTTAAACATCGTTAAATATTTTGTTCAACTTAATAATAAGTGTGAAATACGTGACAAATATAAGAGGAATTATATGTTCATTTTTTAATTTTAAGAGAGTAAAACATGAAATAAGATACAGAGGGTTAAAGTGCATTGCTTTCCAAACAAATGAAGAAAATATAAGTCTTTTAGTTTTTTTTTTTAATTAAATCATTAACCGTCCTAATGGTACATTTTAATTTACAGGCCACAAAAAAATTATATAGTCATTTTTAAATGTTAGGAGAGTAAATCGTATTGTCCAAATCACAAAGATAAAATGAAGTTTGAACTAATTTTTTTTTTATTAAAAAAAGTCAACTAAAATAGCTAATTAGCAAAGGAGGCAAATCTTTGGACGTAAGGGACAGGTATCTACATGGTATCCCGTGGCAGAGCCAGAAAATTAAATTAGGAGGGGTACTTATTAATTACAATATTAAAAAATTGTACAAAAATATTTCACGTAAGGTTTTACAATTGATTTCGAGAAACATAAAAAAAAATAATGTTGTTTATAACTGGTGCACCATGGACAATATAAAAAAAATATGGATATAAGTCTTAAAATAAATTATATAATGATAAATTATTTTTTTTATACAAAATTTGATTAAAAATTCAATATAATGGTAATATCACGTCATTATTAGTATGCGATATTACCAACTAATAGTAAATAAACACATAGAGAGTGAACATCACATGTCAAATGTAACTGATAGTCCAATAAATTTCATATCTTTATAGTGAGATTATTTATATTTATATGTCAATAATAATGATATCACCGTTACATTTAAAATTTTCATAAATAATATAGTTTATAGTAGTCTCTTCATTTTCAATCAAAATAACCATTATTATTTTCATAATTTTTAAAATGTCATTGACATTTTACTCTAATAATATTTTTGTAATACTTTTTATTTAAAATATTTTCTTTATATTTGTATAAAAAAAAAATCAAAAAATCCAGGGGGTACATGACTCCCCTGGCCCTTACGTGGCTCCGCCATTAATGGTATCTACGTGGAAAATACAAAAGCGCACGTACTTCCATGTAAGGCTGCAAACAAGTCGAGCCGAGCCAACCTTTTGAATGTTTAAGCTCGTTTATTAAGAATTAGTTGAGCTCGAGCTCGAGTTGAGCTCTAGTTAAGCTTTAAAAATCGAGCTCAAACTTGACTCGTCAAATATTTGTTGAACTCGAACTCGGCTCGAGCTCGTTCAATTACAAAAATGAGTTAAGTTTGAGCTTAAGCTTAAAAAAAAATTAAATTTAAATTAACTAACTTATTGAGATTAAAAAAAATACAAAATAATGAGTAAAATATATAATAATAGTTATCTCAATAATAAATCTCATCAATCAAATATGTAAATTTACACAAATATCAAAATAAATAAAAAATGAAATAAATTATTAAAAAATTATTTAATATATTATTAATTGAACTGAGATAAAGGTCACTCAAAGTCAACTCGATTGATAAACGTTCGAACTCGTTCATTCAAACGCGTTTTAAACAAGTGCCTTACTTCCATTGTGAGCAAACCAACAACATCAACCCTCGTCCGTGTCTTTGCTTTTCTCTTTTGTAATGGTCTTCGACCCATTTTCATACTCACTATTATTGAACGTTAGGGTTTTGAAAAATCACGACAAACAAACAAACAATCAACAAGAAAAGGAAGCTTCTCACTGTGTATCTCATCCCCCGTCCTTTTCTTTCTTCTTGGTAACTCTCTCTCTCTCTCTCTCTCTCTCTCTCTCTCTCTCTCATCTTTTATTATCTTCCTTATTGGCCAACAAGGTTCAGGAGAAGAAAAGAAAAGTCAAGTTGTGTATTGATTTTTTATTTTTTCCCCTCAGTTTTCTCTGGAAACAAACAAGGGTATATGATTGTAGTGTGCTCGTTTTGAACCTTAATTAAGAAATAACAAGAGATTTTTCAGAACCCAAATGGCATGCCAGGCCATTCATTCATGGACATTTAGTAGGTTAGTGGGTGCTTTTCTTGATCTTGCTATTGCTTATCTCTTACTCTCTGCATCCACTCTTGCATTTTTCGCTTCCAAATTTCTGGGTTTTTTGGGGCTTTGCTTACCATGTCCTTGTAATGGCCTATTGGGCACCTCCAATAGCAATTACTGCTTGAAGAGGCTGTTAATTGATTGCCCAATTGAGACAGTCTCTTCTGTTCAACTGTCTGTGAACACAAAGTTTCCCTTTGATTCAATTTGCGCGAAAAACTGAGATTGCCAAATGAATTTGAAGTTAATTAGAGATCAAAACAATTGTGTTGATGGATTTGTTGAAATGGAAGGCGAAGCGTCTTGTAGCTCAATACCGGGTGCTAGGAAGTTGCAAAATGTGGTTGAGAGGGACTTGATTTTGAAGAATGAATCGGTTAGGGTGTTTGATGTAGTGAATTCATCAGTTCATGTCAAGAACGGAAGGTTTGAGCTGAAGGGTAAGGGGATTGCAAATCAGAGGCCAAGGTATGGTCTTAGGCGACGTTGAAAAGGTCTTGCTGATTATGAAAAAGTTTCGCCTGTGCCGTTTGACCCTTCATATGCAAATGATCGGTCACGTTCTTGCATCAATCGTAAAGGGAATAATGAGATTGAATGCAGTTCAATGCCTGTCAACTCTGGAGCTGATGCTAATCACTTTAATTGTGAGTGTTGATTTTGATCTTGGTTTGTATTCTATCCGTTTTCTTTATTTCATCTGAAACTTTGCACCTTAACTGAAAAGAAAAAGAAAAAAGAAGAAGAGAGGCATTAGTGTTTCATTTTGTGGACTCATGTATCTGTGTATGCATTTTCACATTTTTAAAATCAACAGAAGTTGTGCTATAATCTTACAGCTGAATAAAGAAATTGAAGAAGATTAGTGTTATATGTGCACTAACTTACAAAAATTGTTCCCTGTATATGCCATACATGAAAAGTCACAATCTCCACTGACAATGCATATATCCTGTACCTGAGTGAAGAGTGAAATTATGTCTTATAGATTTTTTGAAAAATCTTGGCCGTTCTTGGCGAAGGGATGGGAAGGGATTTTAAACCATTAAGGGATGCGAAATTCCTTGGTTTTGAAATTCTTTGGTTAGTTTAAAAAAAAGGATTTGTAAATTTTCCTGACTTGGAGGTTCCATATACACATATTAAAAGCTAAAGTAGTTATATTTTAAAATCCTTAAAGCAAAGAACAGGAAAACTGGAAAAGTACAGAGCCCTTCAGATGATCAAAATTATTCTTCTATGTGAGTGTGTTTGTGTAAGATGGCTTGTAAGGGAATTATTTTAATTTTTTATATTGGTTAGACTCACCCCTTAGGAGCCATTCAGGTGATCAAAATGCATTTAAAAAAATGAAAAAGAAAAAGAAAAAAAGAAATGAAGAGGTTGTTCTGGTTTTAAACAAATGGACTACCATACCACCAATACATATATGGCAAGTACAATTTTTATGTCTCTTTTTCAATTAACACTTTAATCTGTTAGCTTGAATGTTTAAACCTCAATGATTATTCCTTGTGCCCTCAGGGCATGAGCTTTGCACCCATTTTTAAACAATGACTTGGCATGTGTTGCCGTGACTTCTTGCTTGGTGTGCCAGGTTTTACATGGAATCTTACACAACATAAATGGAAGCATTCATAGATCCATGCTTAGGTCATTACTAATATGATGCATGACAATGCTATTGTGTGTGGTATGTGATTTAGATGATGAGGACGCTCCAGTTGTTATGAATTTTGGGGATAGAACTTCACATGGCTTGTAGTTGAATGAAACTCTTCATGAAAAGAAACTCACTGAGAAAAGTGAATCATCCTATGGAGAGACAGAGTAATGTGCAGAAGGAACTGGGTTATGAAGGTAATGAGAAAAATGCAATCAGAATCTTGGAACAGGCACTTGAAGAAGAGCATGGTGCTCTTTACCTTGAGCTTGAGAAGGAGAGAAGTGCTGCTGCTACAGCTGCAGATGAGGCCATGGCAATGATACTGCGTCTACAAGACGAGAAGGCATCCATAGAAATGGAGGCTTGGCAATACCAGAGGATAATAGAAGAGAAATCTGCTTATGATGCTGAAGAAATGAACATCCTTAAAGAAATTCTTGTGAGGAGACAGAAAGAGAAGCATTTCTTGGAAAGGGTAGTTGAAGCTTATAGGCAGATGATTCATATTGGAAATTAACAGTTACAAGATGACATTCAGTATATGGTGAAAACACAGAGGGAACAGGCTGATGCTCCAACAGCTTAGTGAATCCATTGACAAGAAGGAAATTGTAAAGGATAAAAGTTCAGTTAATGAGGTATTGTCTATTGATAAGCAAAACTGTACACCCTTGCTCTTGGAGAGGAATTATGAATTTCCGGATGGGATGAAGAAGCTGATTTTCAAGCAAGGAGATGTAGAGAAATCCATAATAGTTTCTGATCTGCAGAAAAATTTGATGTCGGCAGTTAACAATGAAAGATTGAAAATTGACATGAAAGTTGAGTGACTTGGAGAGAGGTTAAGTATTGTGCAGGAACAAAGACAGAAGCTCAACTTCTCTGTGGACTATCGGGAAAGGGAAAATTTTCAACTGCAACTTGCAGAAGATATAGCATAACAACTTCGAGAGATTTGACAGCTAACAGAACCTAGAAAGGCCTTGTGTGAAGCTTCTTTGCCCCTGCCATCCTCTAAGGTTTGATGTTAGATTTCTCTTTCATCATTATCTTCATCGATATCAAACACAGTAAGGCTGCGTTTGGATTATGCATTTGGGTAGGGATTTGGAAAGAGAAAGGAAAAGGAGAAAAAAATTATCTTATATTTCATGCAAATTTCATTCACCTTTTCCTTTCCAAAGACCTATCCAAATCCATTGTCCAAACACAACCTAACCTAAGTGCACAAAGTTACAATGCTTAATCTTTTGAAGACCAAAACTGCACCCTCCTCCCCGCTCCTACCACCATACTAATATTCACTACAAACTTATTCCCACTCCTTTCTAATACCTTTCCAAATATGCCATGAGAAATAGATACCTCTAGAGAGGTCCAATCTCCTAAATCACACCCATACTTCAGAGCTACTACCATTCTTCATCATATATCCCTCTCACCCACAAAACTTTTCATCCGCTTCCCCAATAAAGCTTGATTAGGCATTTCTGACTTCTTGATACCAAGTCCCTATCCTATAATAGGAGTACAAATTGAGTCCTAGTCTACCAAATGGTTACTCGAATTCCTCTTCCATTCTACCCTACAAAAAATTGCTCCATTGCTTTTCTAATCTCTCGCTCTATTTGGTTCATTAGAAAGAGATGGAATGAGACGGAATGGTCATTCTTTAAGCTCCCCTATGGAATGATCATTTTCTTACAATGGTGATTGATGATTTCAGTTGCAATGCATATTTCATTATGTTTTTTAGTCAACCAAATATGTGAATGGATATTTTGATGGAATGATTATTGTGTTCGACCTCATTCTAGTGAACCAAACACTATCTTAGCTGCAGTGATAATAATAGCACACAAGGACATAAAATGTGTAGGAAAACTTGATAAAGTAATGTTGATTGGATTACTTAGTAAAACTCTACAACCAAGTATAGCGGCTAGCGAGTCAATGTTAGATACCTCCTCTTTGTGCATGAAGGCTCTCTTTATATCTCCACCTACTAGTTCTTCCCTTCAGTTTTTGTTCCTAAAGGTTCTTCTGGCACTCTTTATGTTTCCTGATTAACTGTTGTTGGCTACCAGAAGTTCTGTTATTAGCATAGTTTTAAAATGCCTCCACAACCGTTACTGCCACCTGTTATGGCCGCTATGGCAGTGTGACAAAATTCACATCCGTAATGGCCGCCACTGTTGTGTAAAGGTTGTAATGGCCATTACGGTGCCGTTACAATTTCGTTGCTGCCATTACAATCCTTACGCTTCTATTTTTATTTTATTTTATTTTATTTAATATAGATTTTGTATATAAGGCCATTTTTCTCATTTCTCTTTTTTCTAGTTAAAATCGCACAAAAAGAATATAGAACTTATGTGAAAATCTTAGATCTACAAACTCTGAATGTCCAATCTTCAAGTTCTACAAGACTTGAGTTGATATTGAAGTTAAATGAGCTTACTTCTCTCTCTCTCTCCAAAGTTCATTACCTTTTTATTGAAAAGCTTTCCTTAATCTCATTTGATTCTTTGAATATTAACTTATATTATATCTATATTTGCTCTTTGGTCAAATTTATTCATTTGACCTTTGCCGCCATTACGATCATATGCTTCTTTTTTTTATTTTTTGTATATAGATTTTGTATATAAGGCCATTTTTCTCTAGTTGTTAAAATCGCACAAAAAGGATATAGAACTTATGCGAAAATCTTATAGTTACACGTTTTGAATGTCCAATATTCAAGTTTTACAAGATTTGAGTTGCTATCAAAGTTAAATGAGCTTACTTCTCTCTCTCTCGCTCTCTCTCTCTCTCTCTCTCTCTCTCTCCAAACTTTCATTAATTTCTCATTTGATTCTTTGAATATTAATATATTATATCTGTATTTGCTCTTGGGTCAAATTTATTGAACAAAATTTGTATATCATGTTAAGTATTTTTACATTAGTATGTTGATATTTTGTATTATGTATGAACTTATGTTTGTGAGATTATCATTTTTAATATTAAACATGTTTCGTTTTTTTTTCTTCTTAACAAGTGGGAAGTTATCTACCAGTATAATTAGTAAAGTAAAGAAAATTAAATACATCCAACAATAGGAAAAATCCCTATAGTGACTTAAACGTAACATAAAAATTAGTGCACATATTGGATCATATTTAAAAACTAAACAAAACACACGAAAAAATCATTATAAACCTCACTAAATGTGATTTTGAAATGAAAACATGTTTGTTAGCATGTTTTCCTGAAGTTGTGCGAAGAATCAAAAACTTTATGGCTCCGGTCGATTGCCACCACTATTGTGCTACGGCCGTTACTTTCCACAGCCACATCAACGCTATCGTTACCCTTATGGTAGCTGCCACCTTTACTTAAAACCTTGGTTATTAGGTAATGTCAAAGAAAAGGTGCTGTCTAAGTGTACCTTTAGGAGTTCACAAACACTCATAAAGTATGGATTTGGTTGCTTCATGGATACATATATGCTCTTTTTGGTTCCCCGGAACAGTGAGGTAAAATGAAAAAGAAGGGAAAGGAAATGAAGAGGGAAAAAGAGGAAGAAAAAGTAAAAACATAAAGAATCCATTTGTTAGAAATGTGATTTTGATTTGATTGTAGGTTTCCTGTGTCCTCCTCCTTTGGTGGTTAGTCATGTTTCCCCATTTTCCTTACTGTTGTATAATGAAAACTGGGTTACTTCAAAACAAGAAAATTCCCTCAAAAGATTGTCCTGCACAATTTTCCAATATAGCCAAACAAAGAAAAAGTAAAATTCCATTTGATTTCTTTTTCCTCATAATTTGCAAGTCTCAAAAAGTATTTGAATACTTGAATATTTTCATCTGCTTTGGAAATTATTATTTTAGATTAAAAAGTTGGGGTTAATTACCTTGTATTTGTTACTCCTTTAGGGTTAGTCATCTGGGCTCAACGCATTGGTTGTCTTCAGACATTCGCGTCATCCATAGATCTGCTGCATTCATTTGAACAGGAATGTAGGATCTCTCTAACAAAAGACATCACCTTCGAAGTCCTCTGAAGTATGCAGTTCGCTGGATCATATTCTTGGGAGCCTAGAATTGCTGCAACAAGTAGATAAGAGATATGTAGTTCTAGTTTTCTCTCATTAGTGTTGTAAATCCCTTCTACACAGTACCAATGTAGGGGTACCAATTGACAAATAGGTCTTCATGGATGGCACCGGTTCAATTTTTTGTATGAAGTTCGTGAAAAGGCAGTGTGTTATGACCAGATAGTATCTATTATTTATTCATTATAATTTCTTAAATTTCATTACACACACATTGAATAAAATCATATCAATATTATCAGAAATGTTATACAACAGCAGATTATGTTTCAATCATTTGGTACTTTCGTTATTAGTTCTAGGTCTGTCTGTAATCACATATGTGGCATGATAATTTAGAATCATGAAAGTAAAAGATTGCTTTGATTTTTGCATTTGGGTGTTGGTTGTATGTTCTTGAGTATGTAAAAACATTATGCATTTTTGGTGTAGCAATGCAAATAAAATCCAACATTTGATGGTTGATATACATGGTTAAAATTAGAATCACTCCAGGAAAATTTGTCAATAATTAAAAGAAAGAAAGACTCCAATAATAACGATTACTCTTTTTCTTTTCCTCTCAACACCAAATGTATTTGCAGTTATGCTTGATAATTTTGGATAAACAGATGCATTTGTCAGCAGAATTAGGTAAACATAGTGGTGTAAAAATGGCCTTGGCCCGCTTGGCTCTTGCAAAAAAATTGGACCGGGTTGGGGCGGCCTAATTTCAAAAAATATAGGCCCAGACCGGTAATCGGGTTTTGGACCTCATGATTGACTTTTTTTTTTATTATTTTTTATTTTTTCTTCTCACCAAAATAGCTTGCAAGTGATGTTGGGCATCGGGGTGGGTCTAGACCAGGCTCATCGAACTGGGCCTCAGCCAGGCTTCAAGCTGGCAGGCCATGCTTATACTCCTAGGTAAACCTAGGTGAATAGTTATAAGCCCTCTCGTCTAAGTCCTGTAGTATTGAATTTTTTAAGTGGATTTTTGTTGGGTGTTGAGACCGTAATTTTTACCCTTTTGGGTTTTCCACATAAAATCTTGGTGTTTTTATATGATTCCTTATTTGTGTGTTTTAATCATTTAAAGGCTAAAAATTGAGTATTTAATAAGAATTCTTATTAATTGGCTTATTCACCCTCTCTAGCCTCTAGGTAAGTTCATATTTCAAAGAACATATTGGGAATAGATGTCTGGGATAAGTCCAATAATTATACTAGGCATAAAAATAAAAATATTTTTGTGAAGACTTTATAAATAATGAGGGTTCAATCCAACTTATCCAAGTCTAAATTTGAACTTAAGGGCCCAAAATTGTAAAAATTTGAAAGTAATAGACTGCTGTTTTACAAATTTATGAATTATTTCTAGAATATTATTGATTATATTAATTATAATTGTTTTCTGAAAATTTTTATTTTCGAAGTTGAGTTGATCACACTCCACGAAACAACCTTGGCTGGTGGCTGGAGACTTTAATGACTACGCTAATCAAAGAGAAAGGAGGAGTTTCTCAGCTAGCCAAAATATCAGTAGAACTCAAAAATTTCTTGATCGAGTGAATAGCTGTAATCTAATTGACTTGGGCAGTTCCGGACCTCGCCTGACATGGACGAACAATAGACAAGGTATAGCTAACACCATGGAAAGACTTGACCGAGCTCTGTGTAATGCGGAATGAAGGACCATGTTTCCCGAAGCCACAGTGAGAGTTCTTCCTAGAACTTATTCTGACCACTTCCCTCTTGTCGTCTACACTCAAGGTATGCACATTTTAAACCCCCGTAATAGGCCCTTCCGTTTTGAGGTTGCTTGGATGTCTTATCCCGACCTTATTAATGTTATTAAATCCTCTTGGCACTGTATGAACAATCAACTCCTTGACTCTACTGCTGACTTTACTAATAGAGTTACTGAATGGAATGAGAAGGTATTTGGTAACATTTTTAAACGCAAACGGAGACTACTCGCTCGAATTGAGGGTATTCAGAAAGCTCTTGCTGAAACATTCACACACAGTCTTCAAAATCTTGAAAACATGCTTATTAAAGACTATAATGAGACTTTGCTCCAGGAGGAAATGCTTTGGTTCCAGAAATCTAGATCCAAACATATCACCCTTGGAGATAAAAATACCAAATATTTTCATATCTCCACTCTGAATAAAAGACGCAAGCTTAAAATTAATGCCCTTAAGAACGATGATGGTAATTGGGTTAGTGACACAGAGGGGATTAAAAATCTCATCCTTAACTATTTTAAGAACCTCTTTACTAAAAGAAGGAGGATAATGATGGCTTTTTGAAGCCTTTGTCCAACCTGGAAATTCTTCAAGCAGTGAGAAATATTGGTGCTTTTAAAGCCCCTGGTACTGATGGTATCCAGGCTATCTTCTATCATAACTACTGGAGTATTGTTGGCAAGTCTGTGAGTGAGTTTGTTAAGGCTTGCTTCCATAGCAAGTCCGTTCCTGACTCTGCTAATGAAACTCTCATTGTTCTTATCCCTAAGATCGACAACCCTGCCACTATCAAACAGTTTCGTCCCATTAGCCTCTGTAATGTTACCTATAAGATCATCTCAAAAATTGTTGTGAATAGAGTTAGGCCTCTCATTGACAGCTTGGTGAGCCCCAACCAAAGTAGCTTTATTCCGAGTAGAAATACGGTTGATAACATCATTGTTACCCAGGAGATTCTTCACACATTGAGGCATAAAAAAGGAAAGGAGGGAGGTATGATTTTTAAGATAGATTTGGAAAAAGCCTATGATAGATTGTCTTGGGAGTTTATTAGAGACACTCTTGTGGAGTTTAATATGAACGACGAATGGATCAATCTCATCATGAGTTGTGTCTCTAACAGCAAATCCGCTATTCTATGGAATGGAGAGGTTCTGGAAGGAATTAAGAATGAGAGAGGCTTGAGACAGGGTGATCCACTCTCCCCTTACCTCTTTGTCCTTTGTATGGAAAGACTCTCTAACATGATTAGTTCCAAGGTGGAAGGCGGCCAGTGGAAAGGGATTAAGGCAGCTCGCTCTAGCCCACCCATCTCTCACCTATTCTTTGCAGATGACCTTATTTTATTTGCCAAAGCTGATCTCTCCAACTGTGATACTATCATGTCAGTTCTCTCTGAATTCTGTGCAATTTCTGGGCAACAAATCAACCACTCCAAGTCCAAACTGTTTGTCTCCCCAATTTAGCTCGTAACAAAGCCCTATCCCTTAGTTTCCATAGTGGCATCCCTTTAACCCAAAACCTTGGTAAATATTTGGGTTCTCCTATGCTTCATGGTAGAGTCAACAAAAACATGTTTAGGGACACCTTAGAGAAACTTCAATCTAGGTTGTCAGGTTGGAAGGCTAGAACACTCTCCTTGGCTGGTAGAACAACTCTTATCCAATCTGTCACCTCTGCTATACCCAGTTACAACATGCAGACCATGGAAATTCCTAGAAGGGTCTGTGATGAAATGGATAGACTGAACCGTAATTTCCTATGGGGTGACACTGATTCTAGGAAAAAAGTTCACCTAGTTAACTGGGAGAGTGTTTGTACTAGCAAAGACAAAGGAGGTCTAGGTATTAGAAAAGCAAGAGATCAGAATGCTGCTTTATTGACCAAACTTGGATGGAAGATGCTATGCGACAAGGAGAAATTATGGTGTAAGGTGTTGCAGTCCAAGTATCTGGGGAAGCACTCCTTTTTTAGCTGGCCCATCAACAGAAGTTCTTCACATATCTGGAAAAGCATATGCAAAAATAGAGATCATTTGAAGAGGGGAGTTAAATGGAATGTGGGAAATGGTGAGCACATATCTTTGTGGGGTGACTAGTGGTGCGGGAAACAAGCTTTATTTAATTCTTACCCCTTCCAAACGAACAATACCCTCCAGAAAGTCAGTTCCATCATCAATGATGAGGGTTATTGGGACATAGGTGCTTTGGAAAACATCCTCCAATCCCATGATATTTAAGAAACTCTTAAAATTCACAGGCCTCGATTTGTTACATACACAGATTCACCTGTTTGGATTGGATCAACCTGTGGCAATTTCACTACAGCATCAGCCTATCAAATCATTACAGCACAAGATAGTGATGGGAGGGCTTGGACTTGGCTTTGGAAATTAAAGATTCCCCAAAAACTGAAATGCTTCCTGTGGCTTATTCTAAAACAGAGGCTGCTAACAAACCAGCTGAGACTTGTGAGGAACATGGCCACATCTGACATTTGTCCTAGATGTGGGTTGACAAGTGAAGATTTGAATCACTTATTCAGAACCTGCACCACCTCTCAAAACCTTTGGATTGCAATTAAAGATACGAGTTAGTGGGAGGAAGGATGTAATAGGCCTATTCTTGAATGGATTACCTCTAATGTGAAAATTAAAAGTGACTATTTTCATAAAAAATGGCAACTGGTTTTCAAAATTACTTTTTGGCAAATTTGGAATGATCGCAACAGATTAGTGTTTGATAATCTCAATCCTTCCATTCAATTCAGTCTCAAGAGCATAAGGAACTATGTTCATGAGATTGATGAGGCCTATCAATCTGTCCTCCACCCCAGGCCCCATCATCCTAGACTAATTCATTGGCTTTGCCCTTTTGCAGGAACTCTCAAACTGAATGTTGATGGCTGCTCCAAAGGTGATCCAGGCCAAGCTGGTTATGGGGGGCTGCTGCGGGATGATACGGGACTGTGGCTCTGGGGTTTATATGGAAAATTGGGCCACTATTATAGTCTCGAAGCGGAACTGTGGGCTATTTACAGAGGACTCACAATATTATTCCAAAAAGGGCACCAAGGATGTGGTTATTGAATCAGATTCAGAGCTGGCCATCAACCACTTACAGAATGGCCCGTGCCTTAATTCTCCATATAAAGCTCTCATAGAGGATGCGAAATTCTTGTTGAGAAGATGCAACTGTTCCCTGCAATATACACCGAGGGAGGGAAACAAGTGTGCTGATTGGCTTGCCAACATGGGTGTATCACAAGATGAACATGTTCTAGTCCTTGAAGAACCCCCTGAAGAAACATATTTTGACATTTTAGTTCTTTGATTGCTATAGTGAAAGCCACCATGGGATTAGTTTCTTTCTTCTTTCTTTGGTTTCCTGTGTTGGTTCTGCTTCTGGTTGTTTTGAACTTCCTTTGAATCAAAAAAAAAAAAAAAAAAATATTGAATAGATTAATTATGTTAATGATATGTTAGATAATCTAGAGTATACAAATTTAATTAGTAATTTCCTTATTAAAATAATATGAACTAGTTTGGGGGAACAAAGTTATAACATGTTTGTTATGGAACTGTAGCAGTTCCAAAATTTGAAAGGACTTTTCTTAATATTAATTAAAACCTCCATTTGGAGAATCTTAGCATCCAAACTAACCCAGACTGGTCGATGAACCTTTATATCTAGGTGCTTGTAGGGTGTTTTTGGATTGATATGAATTTTTGAATTGCATATATTTGACATTAAGGTCTTGTTTGGGAACTTAGCTTTTAGGCTGATTTTTTTTTTTTTTTTAATTTTATTTTTAATAAAAATAAAAAAATAGGTCAAAAAACTAAAAGTTAAGACCTTACATGAAACTTAGCTTTTTAAGTACTAAACGAGCTATTGTTAAAACCACTAATAAGATTCAGTACAAAAGAAATGTGAGACTTACAATTTAGAATTCACAATTTATCCACAATGACATGGCAATGGTTGAGTTTGTGATAAATCAAAAGTTGACATGTAACATACCATATTGTTGTGGATAAATTGGGAGTATTATTCAAAAAGAAAAAATGTGTCTTAGTCACAGAACATGCACCATTATTAGTAAAGTTTTCCTCTTAACAGCCTCTTGCTATCCATTGGAGTCTGCAACACTTTCTCCACCATGGTCACCGTCGTCAACAGCTTCTTCAGCGGTGGGGGCCTGCTGCTCAACAAGGCCAGGGTGTGGGACTTCGGAGAAGAGAAGAGAGTCCTCTGCCACACCAACCTTCCTCGAAATACCTTCCCAATTGTTCGTGAGGATGGCATCTTGTGGGTTGGTCAGTTGATCCTTGTATTTCCCCTCCTCACCTTCCTCAAAGAAGCCTTCCTTACACTGGGAGGATTTGTTTCCTTCATCATTCAAGCTCTTCTTGAAACTGGTTTCCAAGCATTTCAGCTTGGTAATAGCCTGCCAGAAGTCCTCCTTAGCATCATCAGCAGCCAGCCTTTCTTTGTCCACCTTAATTTCTGGCATAATCTGTTCATAGAGAAGATACACAAATATCAGAATTAATAGTATGCCTGAAAAGAAAGGACAAGGAGCAAAGGCCTATTCACAACCACCTTGTCTTCTGGAGTCGAATTTAATGGCCGCTTTTCAGTATCATTTAAGGTGGTGGGGTGTTTTTTATCAGGCTCCTCCTCCACCATCTGTTTCTGTTTGGCCACCTTCTTCGCTGCTTCCTTTGTTTGCTTGGTCATATGAGCAGGTGGGAGAGGAGTCTTCTCCCTTGATTGTCTGGCTGTGTCTTTTAGGGACAGCTTCCCAGTCTCAATTGGATCCTCCTTGGTAATCATTGGAATGGGTATGCCTTCTTCATCTTCTGCTGCTGCTGCTACTTCTTGTACGGCAGCTAGTACAGGACGTTCTTCAGACTCAATCTGAATACCGTTGCCACTACTACATGAGGAGCTTGGGTTGGATTGCAAGTCCTCTGGTTGGATTCGTCGACTACGGCTTCGTCGTCTGTGTTTGTGTTGGCCCTTGTTCTCCAAGTGAATGTCTGCCCAGATGATCTATTGTTAGCGAGCTCAATTGGGCTTGCAAAAAAATAATACAAATCGTGTTTGTAGTTGATTTAAATGGTACTTAAGGAATCATCTTTACTATCTACACTACTGCATGAGTAGCAGAGAATGGAGGGTTATGTAAGATTGTACATCCTCTGGCTGGATTCGTCGGGAACGAGTTAGTTGTTTGTGTATGGGTAGGCCTCGTTCTCCAAGTGAATGTCTGTCCTAGATGATGATCCATTAGCGATCTCTTTTCAACGTGCATGTAGTTGATGATGCAAACAGGACTTCAGGAATTATTTATGAGCGATGCTACATTTACTTAAAATTTTATTAACAATCTTACTAAAAACATTCATGTTCAAATATCATTAGATTTTTAAATGTCATTATTTTTTTTGACAACCAATCACATTTGACCTCTTGTATTTTTAATAAAATTTTTAGTATATGTAGAATTATTAATTATCTATACGTCAGGCCTTCTCCTTATGCCACATGTCATTTTATATTTGAAAGGAAAAAAGAAAAAAATGCAAACATGCCATGTGTCTTTAGTTTTATATTTAGGGTAAATTACACTGACACCCCCTGAGATTTAGGTTTATTACAATTCCCCCCTCACCTTTTGGAAATTACATCTCCCCTGAGGTTTAAAGTTTCATTACAGATTCCCCCCTTCAGCAATTTATTTTTTTTAAATACCAATTTTGCCTTCATTAGGTAAATTACATTGACACTCCTCACATTTTAGAAATTACAATCCTCTCCCCAAGGTTTAAAGTAGCATTACCAATTGCCCCCTCAGTTAGTATTAGTTGGAAAAAAAATTCATTAAAAAAAAATTAATTGGAAAAAAAATTAATTGAAAAAAAATTTTGTTAGTAAAATTTTTGTTTAAAAATCAACATAAACTCATTTTTTGAGTTTACGTTTTTTTCTCAAATTTACAAACTGAGACAACCATTTATAAAGTAAAAAAATTATTAAACAAGTTTTTATGACATTTTTTAAAATTTTTGTAAATATAAATTAAAAATTAAAAACAAAATGGTTACCACACAGGCCTCGGATGGTAAAAATGTGATAAAATTAACAAATAATTAAATAAATTACCAATGCAAGAAATGACTTATTAAAATATTCTTAGGTTACGTATGATTTGATTTTCAGAATTTTTTTTAAAAAAATTAAAATTAATTTGATTAAGAAATAAAAAATAAAAAATAATTATCATTTAAGGGTAAAAAATAATTATCATTTTAACTTTTGAGTAGATTATATACATACGTATGGCTGTTTCAATTTAATTTGTAAAAAATTATTCCACTCGAAAGATAAAAATTATATAAAAATGATAATTATTTTTTATTTTTTATTTCTTAACCAAAATAATTTTTAATTTTAATTTTTTTTTTAAAAAAAATTCTAAAAATCAAACCATATATATCTTAAGAATCTTTTGATAAGTAATTTCTTACATTGGTAACTCATTTAATTATTTGTAAATTTTACGACATTTTTACCATCTGAAGCCTATTTGGTAACCATTTCGTTTTTAGTTTTCAATTTTCAATTTTCAATTTATATTTACAAAAATTTTAAAAAATGTCATAAAAACTTATGGAAAATGTTTGGTAGCTCAAAATTTTGTGGCTCAAATGGCTCAAATCTGTCAAAACGACGTCGTTTTACACTCAAAATCTGTCAAAACGACGTCGTTTTGAGTGATTTGAGCCATTTGAGCCACAAAATTTTGAGCTACCTAGCATTGTCGAAAACTTATTTGATAATTTTTTGGTTTATAAATGGTTGTCTCAATTTGTAAATTTGAGAAAAAAATGTAAATTCAAAAAATGAGCTTACGTTAGTTTTTAAACAGAAATTTAAAAATTTTACTAATAAATTTTTTTTTCAATTAATTTTTTTTTTCAATTAATTTTTTTTCCAATTAATTTTTTTTTCAATTAATTTTTTTTTCCAACTAATACTAACCGAGGGGGCAATTGGTAATGCTACTTTAAACCTTAGGGAGGAGATTGTAATTTCTAAAATATGAAAAGTGTCAATGTAATTTACTCAATGAAGGCAAATTTAGTATTTAAAAAAAATAAATTACTGAATGAGGGAATCTGTAATGAAACTTTAAAATGTAATTTGCAAAATGTGAGGGGGGAATTGTAATAAACCTAAACCTCAGGCGGTGTCAGTGTAATTTACCCTTATATTTAAAAACAAAACAAAACAAAACAAAAAAAATATGCATAAGACTCGAAACCTTAACCTTGAATGTAAAGAAGAAAATTCTTAACACTTGAATAATACACATATTATTACACTATTTAATTTAATTTTTTTTTTTTTCTTTGTCATTTATTCAAATTACTCATGCATTGTGTATGTCAACCATTAGTATATATTTTGTGGCAGGGATGTAAAAATGGTCGGCCGGCCCGAAACTCACCCGAAGCTTGCCCGTAGCCCGACCAAGCTCGAACCCTCGGGCCTAGACTTGGGCTGTGTATTTTTTGGCCCGGTTTCTCCAACCCCACTCTGAAGCCCACCTTATTTTAAAGTTATTTTGGTGAAAAAAATGAAAAAAAAAACTATCGAGCTGGGCCCAGGCCCAAATTTTCCTAGGGCTTGGGCTTGGGCCTAGGTCAAGATTTCACAAGTGGCCTAGCCTGGCCCAATTTTTTTTGGGGAGCTTGCAAGGCCCGAAAGTCGCACCGGGTTAAAATTACACCCCTATATGCGTGGAACTAGCTTCTTTTCTCCACTCCAGTTAGGCTTGTGAAACCCATCATAATAGATATTTATTTTGTAGGTCTGTGTGTGTATATACATAGGGTTAGGTTAGAAAACACATATACTAAGTTATGATATTTGTGATTTTTTCTTTTTATTATCACAAATGTCATCAATAAATCTTTTTCGGTTATAGCTAAAAAGGAGTAATGAGTCATGCCAAAACACCACATAAGAAATAATATGTTATGGTGTGCACTTCTTTATCAATCTCAAAATGCATAATCTCGTCACAAATTGACGTCACAAAAAATGTCGTAACTAAGCCACAAACTTTTGCAACATCAAACACAAAATTTTGAACATTTTGTTAAGCCAATTTGTAGTAAGGTTACGCATTTTATAATTGATGTTAGAAATTTTGTAATAAAATTATATATTTTGTGATAGGGTGCATTATAGGAGAAGCATAACAAAATAATAAATTATATACGAATATTTTGATTTAGTATAAGACAGGTTAGAAATATTTTGATTTGAGGTTCAAAAGTTGAAAATTTTGCTATGCAATAGGTTGCACAAACACTCATGCCAAAAAACTAGTAAGTCCTGATTTTGTCCATTGGAAAGAAATTCTTAGAGGAAAATCATTGAACATAAAGGGCCCTTGGAAGTAGCAGTAGCACTGTGATCAGTTTTAAACAGAATAGATATGGGAATTGGACTCACCAGAATTTCTAGCTGTGGATGATGATGCTCCATCACTCATTGGTTCTTCAACTAGGGTGCTGCTGCTGCTGCTAAGGTTGTTTAACAGCATTAAGTGCACGCCGCCCATGGTGGGTCGTTCTGTTGGAAGATGTCGTGTGCACATCACCCCAATCTTTACACACAATTGTACTTGATCAAGGACAACCGATGATATCAATTTCTGGTCTACAAACTGTAACACATTTTCTTCCTCGTAGAGTTTAATTGCCTTCGTCAACAATGAATAATCATGTCACAAAATTCAGCAACAAGCTCAGTTAGAGACACCTCCCTTGTGTGATAATGGCTAATTGCAAATTAAACTCAGTTCAAATTAAAAATGTGGATCAGGTGTGCTTACCTCATCCCGTAGACCTTGATCATTGGAAGACTGAGGATTGGAGTTCCAATACTTCTTACCGCTTATCAGCTCCAAAACCACTACCCCGAAGCTGTATATGTCCGCCTTCGGAGAGACGAGTCCATATTCCAAGTACTCGTAAGCTGAATACCCACTGATTCCACGTACAAGCATACATTAACAACAAATCAAGTTTCAAAATGTTTGGTTTGGTTTAAAAATAAAAATAAAAAAAGGTTTTTGAAAACTCAACAAAACATTGGTCGGATGGATTTGATTTTTTTTTTCTTTGAAAAAAGAGTAGGATTCAGTGACAACATATAGAGAATTTAAATTATATCCTAAATCAAATTGCTATATATATATATTTTTTTAAAAATTACTAGGAAAAATAAGAAAATTTATATGCTTAACACATACCGGGTAGCGATAACTTGACTGATCTCAACACGAATTTGAGTTTGACCTTGAGGGATGAGGCTGGCTGCGCCAAAATCAGCAATTTTGGGAACCCAATTTTTATCTAGTAGGATGTTTTCATGTTTGATGTCAAGGTGGATAATTACACTATTCGATTGTTCATGAAGGTAAAACAAGCCCTGGGCAACACCTACGATTATGTCATATGTTCGCTCCCAGTTAAGCGCGTCTGCTCTGCCAGTCTCTGAATCCAGACCATCAAAAATAGTACAAAAGTTTGAGATTAGTTGCCGTGTTGAAAATGGTGACTTAATAAAGAATTGTAGTATGATATAATTTTAATTGGGTAAACTACCAATAGGTCATAATAGTTAGACTTAATTCCCATAAAATCCTATTGAAAATAAGTCTTGGTAAAATTGTCGCTAAAAATAATTTTTTGTGACAATTTTTTACATACATCGTTAAAAATTGACAATTAGTAACTTTTTTTTGCCATGATTTTTCTAAATTATCGCTAAAACTTAGAATTAGTGACTTTTTTTATTATAAAATTTTCCCATATGACCTATTAGATAATAAGTTCACTTATTAGGGCTTACACATAAGTACCCCTAATTAATTTATAATAATTTTGTGTTCACTGCGAATTAGAAGAGAACAAATATGTGAATCTATGAGTATATCCTTCCCAGAAGGTGTCTTGACCTTAGTTGCACGAAGCAGGAACGGGATCGGGATCGGGGAATCATAGACATTCCAAGAAGCGTTGGTAAGCGTTTGTATATATATATATATATATTAAATAATATAATATATTGTGAGATTATATTTATTTTTTTTCTTTTCATTTCTCTCATCAAATCCTCCAACCAAACACAACCTAAGAGTTATTTGCATGAAAACTCTCTAAACTATTAAGAAGTATCATTTGACCCCTTAAATTATAAAAAATACAAATGAACCCCCTAAACCATTGGCATGTTTCACTTTGACCATTTCTATTAGGGAATCAATTTGTACACTTTCATAATTTAGAAAGTCAATTTGTATGTTTTTATAGTTTAAGGAACAAAATGATATTTCTCAATAATATATGGAGTCAATTTATGTACTGTTATAGTTTAAAAGGTTAAAAGTCACATTTTTCAATAATTTAGAAGAGGTTTTTGTGTATAGATAACTTAAAAGGGGAATTTTCTTTCTCTTTTGTTTCTTTTCATTTCTCATGATTTTTTTTTTAATTTCTTAGCAAATCATTATATCCAAATTGACACTTCAAAAAATAAAAATAAATAAATAAATAAGGGCTTAGATAGCATTAAAGTGATGGCCAGAAAATTGGATTGAAAAGGCACTTTCATGTTACAGAATCCATTTACCATAGCACCCTTTTCTTCATGGCCTCTCTCTCTCTCTC